TTCAAAAAAAAAACGGCATTTTAATCATTAAATTTGATTTCCTCAACAAAAAAAAAAAACATTTTTAATGACTAAAATACTTATTTTTCAGTTGATTTTACTTAACGAAAATAGTCAAATGGTTTAGATTGAAAATAAATATAAAAAAATTAGAGTTTAAATTGATAAAATTAAAAATTTATGAGTTATTTTGTTAAAAGAGTCAAACCTTGAGACTTGTTTGTAATTTTCCTCCCCAAAAATTATTAGATAATGAAAAACTTTTAGGTTTTTAACTTTTTTTAAAATTTTTTATTTTTACTTTTTTGCTTCATCTAGTTGAGTAAAACCTGAAAGTTTAAAACTTTTTAAGTTTTTTTAAATAAAATTTACCAAAAACAAAAAAAAAATCAATCCCAAATGACTTATATATTTCATCATCTAATAAAAATGTTTTAAAACAATTAAAAAGGACTTGTCTACCTGAAGATTACAACCATCAGTGAACACCAAACATAAAAAAAACATGTGGCATACGCTGTGGCAATGGTACAAAAGGTGTAGTTTTAATTCACGGAAAATGGTTGGTAGCTCGAAAGTAAAGGGTCGAATGGGTCGAAAATATTCTCTTACCGGTAAGAGAATACAAAAAAACTTAAAACGATGTCGTTTTGAAATTTCGAGCCATTTGACCCACTGATATTTCAAGCTACCAACTGGAGTTGTTAATTCACCATAGTTACTGCTGCGCACACTATGCAACAGAATCTCTAAATCCTAGGAGAAGCTATAAATGTGTCTTTCTAGATACTAAAATATAATTTTCTCCAATTCTATCTATTTCAACATTATATACTTTTCAAATTTAATTTATTTATTTTTTAAATATTTTTTTATCATAAAACTAAATACATTTATTTTTAAATAAAATTTCATGGTTTTAAAAAAAAAATTAAATCTCCTCTATTTTCAATCATAATTAAATTATATGGTGTAAAGAAAATGAATCTAAAAATTAAAAAAAATAAAAAAAAGTGAATTTAAAAATATAAAAAGGAAACTGAATCTAAAATTTTTAAAAAAATAAAGGAAAATGAATCTTAAAAAAATAGAGGTATATAATTTTTTTTTATATTTGTTTTAAAAATAAAGGCCATTTAAAAATAAAAATAAAAAAGCCCTCAAAATTTCATTTTAAAATAAATGCATTTAGTTTTATGATAAAAAATATTTAAAAAATAAATAAACTCTATTTCAAAATTTTATAATGTTGAAATAGAGAAAATGGGAGAAAAGGGTACTTTAATCTCTAAAATGACACATTTATGATTTTCCTATCTTCTATAATAGCGGAGGTGGTTGAGATAATTTAATACATCCTTAAAAAATGTCTTAAATGCACTTGTTAATAAAATCTTATTATAAAAAAGGAAAATGTTAATAAGTGCTCCATGAATATTGTTAACGTTAGGAAATATTTAAAGAAATTATATAAAATTATTAAAAAGTGTGTTGATTTTAATAAAAATACATTGAAATTAATAAAAAATGTGTTGTTTTCTACAAATATTGTCTTTTACTTATGCCCTAGGGGCTGTTTATTTTCAGAGTTAGATTAGGTAAGATTGTTAATGAAGAGACTTAAAAAAATTATACATGTGTGATATATTTTGGGTTCGTTTAGAATGTGGGTTAGCTTTTGATTTTTTAACTATTTTAGCCAGAGACTAAAAAGTCTCGTTTTGAATAAATTTTTTGACTTTTTTGAGAAAAAAAATAAAATGATTATGATTTGAATGTGACATTTCGTCATATTGATTTTTAGCCTATTTTTTTTTCTTTTTGTAGCTAAAATAGCCAAATCAAACTTTTTGACATGCCAAACGAAGGCTTTAGTAAGGGGATTAGCTATATAAAATATCATAAATATCTTTTGTTGTTTTTGATATATTTTAATATATATATATATATATATATGTGTGTGTATAATGACGTAATAGCCACACACCCAAAAAAAAAACAAAAAAAAGAAATCACACACGCAAGCATTTAGCATAGACAAAGGCGCTGTTTGGGAAGCCGAAAATGAGGCTATCATAGCCTTATTAGAGAAAAAAGCCCAAAAGCAATACTGTTCACAGGTTTTCAAAAAAAAAATAAAATAAGCTGCAACCCAGCCTCAAAAGTCATCATCAACGGCTAAATTATCATTTTACCCCTTCACATCATTTTAAAAAATTATAATTCAGGGACAAATTTGTCATCTTAAATTCAAATATCATTTCAACACACTTTCCAATACAACAACTCAACTAAAAATTCATCTAATCTTCCCAGACACAAAAACTAAAATAGCCAAAAAGCCAAATAGCTTACTAAAATAGCCACTTCCCAAACGAGGCCAAAATAGTCTTCTTCTTTTTTTCTTTTTCTTTTTTAATTTTTAAATTTTTTTTTTCTAAACTAATCCCCTCACTAATTTTGAAACTCAATTCTTAGAGGTCTTTGTCCCATGCTAATCGCAAGAGACTATCAACCCCAAGCTCTACTTTGCAAATAAATATGATTTGTTGTGATCTTTATTCACTATGGTCACGTTTGTTTGGCAGTTTAGGTTAGATGAGATTATTAGTGAAGAGATTGTTAATATGTGGATTATTAGTGAAGAGATTAAGTAAAAATGTGTTTGTTTTGATGATAGTGTGAGAGATGATTAGTAATGAGATTGTTAAATTATTTTTATATAAAATAAATAAATAAATTATTTCTATATTAAAAAAAACTAAAACAAATAGGTGCAATAGGTAAAAAAATAAAAAATAAATTTTTATATAAAATAAACTCAATTTGTTCATTATTTTCCTAATCCTAACTAAAATTCACCCAAGCTAATCCTCTTACAGAGGGGATTACAGCCCCCATACACTACTAATCCTATGACATTTTGTTGTATCCAAATAAGGATTTAGTAGGTCTCATGGATTGATAATCCAATCCACCCTCCCAAACCCCCAATCAAACATGGCCTATGAATCCAATCCCCTACTCCATAATCCAAAACAAACAAGGCCTAGGTTAAATATTAAATAAATCAATAGTACAATCATACTTCTGTTAGTCATACCTAGAAAAGAAATCAAACCGTTTGGTTTGTATATTAAAATGAATGATTTAAATATTTAAGCTCGTTTAACAATTGAGTTGTGTAGACTCAAGTTTGGTTCAAATGAGGTCATAACACAAAATTATAGAAATTAATATTTATTTTTAATAACATATCAAATATATCTTCAGTATTTTATTTTATTTTCTATTTATGTTTGATGTTTATACAAGTTTACATATTAGATTGATAAAATTTATTAATAATACAATCATACCTTTATATTTTACTCATAATTTATTTATTTTAAGTTATCTTAATGTATTTATTAATTGAGTAAATTACAAATATATTCCGTGAGACCTGCTTAAAATATAAATTATTCCCTATAGTTCTGAAAATTATATCTTGTCACTTCAAGTTTCTAATCGCTTAACTAATGGCCCTTTTATTAATAAATCATAAAGTCAATTATTAATTTTTAATGTCATCAAAAATATGTTTCAATTAACAATTCAAGTAATTTTCTTATTGTATAAGAGATTTGTTAGGATTTTTTTTTTTATTAATTCTGTTACATAAAAAATTCTGATAATGGAGTATATATAATTTCTAGAACTATATAAAGTAATTTGTATTTCAAGTAAATTTCAAAGGTGTATTTATAATTTACCCTTATTAATTTAAATTTGATTTTTTCTTTTCAAACTTGAGCTCTTTGTACATTTTTTTCATAAAAAATTAAAAAATTATTAAAATAATATATTTCCAAACGAGGATTATCAAGTTAACTCAAATCAAACTCGAATCAAATTATTGACAAGCTGAAGTCAAGCTTGGTTTGAAAAGAAAATTTCTAGTACCGCAACACACACTAGCATATATCGACCAACAAAGTCCACCAAGGATCCTCTAGAGTGAAATTTTCCTAAAGTTTCCTAGAGTGCTATATTGTTTTGATTTTTTCTTTTCAAACTTGAGCTCTTTGTACATTTTTTTTTATAAAAAATTAAAAAATTATTAAAATAATATATTCCCAAACGAGGACTATCAAGTTAACTCAAATCAAACTCAAATCAAATTATTCACAGGCTGAAGTCGAGCTTGGTTTGAAAAGAAAATTTCTAGTACCGCAACTCACACTAGCATGTATCGACCAACAAAGTCATGTAATAACATTGCCTTTTATTTATCCAACTTACCATAATGGGTCAAGCAATGAAAATATTTTATGTAAAGTGTATGTCACGTAACCGAGCTAGTTTGATATATCTTTCTACAGAAAAAAAATAAAAATAAAAAAAGAAAAAGAAAAAAAAGGGTGAGAGAGAAAAAAAAAAAAGAACAACAGAAGGGACTAAAATATGCAGCCTAACACTCAACAACACATCAGGTTGAGTGCAGAATGACTTTTCGAATCTCATTTCTTCTATACAACAATTAATAAATAGAAAAATAAATCACGCCATAACATGATATACCTATTATAAAATAGAGACAATTACTATTCAGAAGTATTTTGTAAAAATTATAACAAATTTATGAAAAATCTTATAATTTTAATTATTAATAATTATAATATTTACCTTTTTGTAAAAAAGGTAAATTATAAAATACTTTACTCTGAAAATTATAAATAACAGCACTGATTCAGTACTCTAATTTGGTAGCACTTATGTCAGCTCTAATGAGCTGGTAGTGCAAAAAAAAAAAAAAAAAAAAAACTCAAACTATTACATTAATAATGGAGTCCACACAGTGCCACGCAATTAGTGGTTTGAAGCATTTTTCTATAAATAATTACTCACCGACTTAGAGTTTAGTATTAATTAGTAGCAGATGCTCCCCAGTGGCATTTTGGTTGAATCCCCAAACTCAAAGGTGAATTACACATCTCCCCACCTATATTATTAGATAGCACACCACTCCCACCACTACATCATCACCAGCTTAAAAACTCAGCACAACAAAAAGCAAAAACACAAAAAACCCAAAAACACAAACACAAAAACAAAAACATGTCTCTGATCACAGAAGAGGCCAAAGCAAAAGCAGAGTTCTACCAAGGAAACGACCTATGCCAAGAGAAATCAAAGGTCTTGCTCAAAGAATTGGGTTTGCCCAACGGTCTCCTTCCATTGGAGGACATGGAAGAGTGTGGCTATGTCAGAGAAACCGGTTTTGTGTGGCTTAAACAGAAGAGGAAGACCGAGCACAAGTTCGAGAAGATTGGCAAACTCGTGTCGTATGCGACCGAGGTCACTGCCTATGTCGAGCCAAATAAGATCAAGAAGCTGACCGGTGTCAAGACTAAGGAGCTCTTGCTTTGGATCACTCTCAGTGATATATATGTCGATGATCCGCCGACCGGGAAGATCACTTTTCAGATTCCGGCTGGGCTGTCCAGGACTTTTCCCGTGTCGGCTTTCGAGGTGGAAGAGGGGCCGGCGAAGGCGGAGGTTGGTGGTGGAAATGTAAGTGTTACTGCTGCTGCTGTTGCTGCTCAAGTGAAGGAAGTTTGAGGCAATTTAAAAGGTATATTTATTTATGCTGTGTTTAGTATAAAGTTGTTTTAAAAGGTGGATGAAGGGTCAAATCAAAAAAAAAAAATGTGGGTAAGTATGTCCATTTTGTTTTAAAGGTGGATGAAGGATCAAATCAAAAAAAAAAAAAGTGGGTAAGTATGTCCATTTTGCTGATCATGGAAAACTGTTGGTGGTGGTGGTGCTGATGATGCTAATAAAGATCAATTTAGAATTTAGATGATTATTATGTGTGTTCATGCCATGACTAGATCATGTTTTGTTGGAAAGATCAATTTAGAATTTAGATGATTATTATGTGTGTTCATGCCATGACTAGATCATGTTTTGTTGGTTGGTTGTTAGTATATGCAGATCATCATTCTGTTGTGAATAAAGATAGCAATTTAGAATCACCAAATCAAGGCACAATATCAGCAATAAAACAATGTGAGAGCCCCTCCCACAAAATATATATATATATATATATAAAAGAATAATATGCAATTTAAATTTATTTTAAGCGTAAATTTTACAATACAAGAATTAAATTCAAATTAAGAATCACATTTCTATGTAAATTTTTGGGTTAAGTTTTTGTCAATTATTTTATCACTGGTACCTCATCTACAAGACAAAACAAGCAATTTAATATTCTATTTTAATCCATTTTTTTCATTGAATGCCCCTAAATTTATTAGGGGTAATCATGGATCTGCTCAACCCGTTCAACCTAACCAAACTGACCCAACCCGATTGATTTTGGGCGAGTACGTGTCTTTCAGCGAACGGATGCGATGAAATATTATAAAATCCGCGGATACAATTCAGATGGCGGATCAATCACCCCTCATCCGTATGAATCCGATTTGCTTGTAAATAAAGTTCAAAAGATATGCATGTGTTGTGTCATAGTCTATTATAGACAAATGATACATATTTTTTGTGAAAATGATAAACAATACCTTAAAAATATGCATGTGTGGTGCCATATCGTACTATAAATAAATAATACATATTTTTTCAGATTACTCGTTATTAAAAAATTGTAAAAATTATGAATTATAATTCAAAAAATACCCAAAATTTATAAAATTTAAACCGTCAAACAAATTGCATCCATATGTCAATCCGTATAGTCTGATCAATCTGCATCCACCAAATCAATAGAGAGATGCGGATTTTAAACAGATGGCAGGCCAAGCTAATTCGTGATGACTCCTAAAATTTACTATCACAAGGCTAAAATTAATGTTTCCAACGCTCACCTAATACTTATCACGTGCAAGCTTTAAAAATATCAGTTTATCAGTTTATGACTTTGGTTATTGTTATCATTCATCCATTGGCTAATTATTGATATGGGAAAATGACATTTCTTCAAGCAAACCTACATTTTGGTATTAATTCAAAAATTAAGAAGATCTAGGACTTGTGTGGAATAATTCTGCATATAGAAATGTTAGGTGGTATCCGAATAAAATAATTTAAAAAATTATTCAAAAAATACAATGTGCATAAAAATAAAAATTTTAAATTTAAACATCACAATTTATTTCAATATACTATTACTTAATTCACACCGACATGGATTTTGAAGTTCAATGTGTATTGAGAAAAGTTAGTAGTGTGCCAAGGAACTCCGGAGAGATTTGCTCCCCTCTTATTTTGTCTTTCCATTGCCCACTTTTTTTACCAAACCAAGTATAGGATGTGAGGTGTATGTATATTCAAATACGGAAGTGGTGGTAGGCAAACAAAGGTTGGTTTAGCCTATTCTCCACGTCTTTATCTACTAGACTACTACTCTCTGTCTAAGTGGATGCGTCACTCCTAATTAAGTTCCTACCACCCACACAACCACCACCCACAAGGGGTTAATGTGGTCTAATGTCCTCTCTCTCTCCCCCCTTCATTTACTTCCAACAAATTTTATCAAAAATCTCTAAACTATGCCCATTATATCATTTTAATCTTTTTATTTTTAATTGACTCAATTTTAATTCTTAACGTCATTAGAATTTTTAATGAAAAAACAATCACTGAATTAGTTAAGATTAACTTACTGAGTTGCATATTTTATAATTTTATTTCTAAAAGAATGACACTTACCACTTATGTATTTATTTTTCATAAAATAATACCCACTAATAATTATAATCAATTAGACCGAATTAAAATAAATTTATAAATTAAATATAAAAATTGAATCAATAATAACACGGACAAAGTAAAAAAACTACTAGCATAATTTGGCTTGCAGCTAAAATCACATCCATGAGAGCATCTACAACAGTTACTCTTTTTCTTTTTTTTATCATCAAATTTGAATAAAAAGTTCATATGATATCGCGAGTTCCAACGAAAATTTTTAAATTTTCATCAAAGCATCGATCGACCAAAAGGACGATCGGGCAAATGTCCAACCAGTCGACCGGTTGGTATAAATTGACCACAACCTGTAGGACAATTTTGCAAGAGATTGTTTAGGAGGACGTTCGGCCCAATGGTCACCTAAAACTTTGATAAAATGCTCCAAACATTCTCAATTTAATAAAAAATTTAAGACATCCTCAATTGATATTGGTTTGATGTTATAACTGAAGCACCAAAATTTAATTTTTTTTCATCAAATTCAAATTTAATGAAAAAAAAGAGGTAAAGCACTAACGTTCTTAGCTCTCCCAAAATGGTGAAAACTCACATCACTATATCAATACCCACCATCTCATAAAATAGCGTAAAAATATAATTTCAAGTTTTTATCTATTTATTTGTTATTTGACCGATCATAATTTATTAGGACAAATCTCATGTGGTTGCCGAAAAACTTTTCCTCCTTGTCCAGGGCATTGACAAAACCAGCCACCACCAATAACAGCTTTTAATGCTTTTTATGTCTCTCCAACCTAAACAAAATGCTGAAAAAAAAAAAACCCTAATCGAAACAAAATGCGGACTTGTGTGAGAACAACTGAGCAGGTTAAGCCCAGAACTAACCGCTGCACTGCAATGCCAACAGCCAAGCAAGCACTGTATACCCCGTTTTGCAAGTTGAGTTGGGATTAAAATAGCTAATAAACCAAAACACTCAATCACTTCATTCTTTCTATTTCTCTATACGTCTTTTCGTAAAAAATAAAGAAATAATTAAAATAGCATATTCCCTTTGCTTCCTATTTCCTACCATGGCGTGCTAAAATGTTAGGCCAAGTTTGAGAAGTCTCAAAAAAAATTAAAAAGTCAAAAAGTTACTTAAAAAGTTAAAAAGTTATCACTATTTACCAAAGTCAACAATTACGACTGCACAACTCCCAATACTAATTTTTCCCTATACATTAATTTATACAATTTTTTAATACACATTTTTTTGTAAAAAGTCAAAAAATTAACCCAAACATTCATATTTTCAACCTCAACTTTTTAGTTTAAAAAGATAAAAAATACACTTATTTAGGACACCCCAAACAACACCTTAGTACATGAAGTTTCTCCAAAATAAGTCAAGCAATAGAAGTAAATAAGGTCTATATAAAAATAATAAAAAAAAGGTGTCACTGAAACGCTTGTTTTAAGTCCAAATAGAGCATAGAAAAAATTTAGAATTTTGGAGAAACTCGACATAAGTTCAAATATTATCCCAACTCGTCAGGTATCTAAATCCAAATGCATTATCATACAACTGAAAGAACACTTTGTTTCTGATGTTGTGACAACCTTTACATTGTGTTTGGTTGGGAGATTTGATGAGGGATTTGGAAAGGGAAAGGGAAAGGGAAAAGTTAGGTGAAATTTGAATAAAATATACTTACATTTCACCTACTTTCACACATCTTTTCCCTTTTCATTTCCAAATCCCTCTCCAAATCCCCCAACCAAACATAGCATTAATTGGTGGACTAGGAAAAGAAGATAAATCTTTCAAAATGGGGATTTTCCTGAGAAAAAGTTTCATATGGCTTGCAAATCTTTGTTAAGCATCGTATCACGACACAAGTAACGTGAAATGAACTGAATATGATATAGTTATCCGACAGTAACATAAAATCACTGCTCCAACAAGACAAAAATATAAGAAAGGCTAATACAAGTGGGCAGACAATGATTGATTTTCCAAAAAAGCACGAAGATATCTAGTAATCACTCACCAAACAGAAAATTATTCATCATTTAAGCAACACCTGAAAAATAATTTTCTTTTTCATTCTATATATAATTAGTGATAGTGTACAGTTCTTAAAAATAATTACGCTAAGACATTTATGGAAATAAATCAAATGGGTTGAGAAATACCTTCCTAGCAAGCAGTTTTCTCATAAATCAACTATGATTGTGAATCTTGACATTTCCGAGTGCATTGCTAACTGGATGCAACTCTCACAACATTATGAGTATCTATCCCCATTGCATGCCCGTAGTTGTTAACCAAAGACTCGATGTGTTTAATTTCTTTCGGTAAAGAACCAGTAAGAACCTATTTCAAGCACCCAAAAGATCATATTGTAGTATTAGCTCTTGAAGTCTCACACAGGCTAAACTATCACATTTTCTCTAGTTGTCAGAGTACAATAGTAACACCAGTTACTCATCATTAACTTTGAGTTTATACCTCGTAACCTGATTCCGTGATAAGGACTTCATCCTCAATCCTTATCCCAATGCCTTGATACCTGCATTAGACATCCTTAATGTGAGTTGCAATTTAACCTACATGAAACATCCTGAAGTACCTAGCATTTTGATGGCACAAAATATAACAATTCAAAGGCGAACTAATTTAGAAAATTTCGTCAAAAGTTAAAAACTCATTCCCATCTAATTTTTCTCTCATTGCCCAAGATGGCAAGCACAACCTGGGCTTGCGGTCATGTTGATTCAGATTTGAAAACTCTTCAAAATATGACAACAAAACTTGATGAAGCAATGAAACGTACCTATCGGGACAACTAAAACCAACTGGAATGTAAACACCAGGTTCAATTGTTATCACCTGCCATACAAATTTTTTGGAGGATTAGTTAATGATGATAGTAAAAAAACAAAAAAAACAGGTCATTTATATCCAAGCTGTAAATCTTCTTGGCCAAGTCGCATATATGTCTACAGACAGATCAATTAAAATGTGAACATGCAACCAACAGCCTCTGGTTTGGCCACCAATTCTATCCCTAAAAAAGTCCGTCCTAATGCCAAAGAAATGATCAACTTTAAGAAAATAATATTCATTTATATATTTTTATGTTTAATTTGCTTGTTTCCTTCAACTCCAAGCATTAATACAAATACAAAAATAAATTTCTGTAGTACCATTTGTTATTCATAGCATAAAACATATAAAATGTGCTCTCATGATAGAATAACTTCTTCCTTTTTCAAAAAATAATGTAAAATGTACCTTTGCCACCATTTCATAATGGATCCAACCATCTGTACCCAGCGCTATTCAACATACATAAAATTTTAAAAAGACAGCAGAAATGTGGATATATCCGTTGCTATGTTACCTGGAACGTAGATCGTTCCGATACAGGAAACGGGAACGGGAACGGGAACGGGAACGGGAATGGGAATGAAAACGAGGATGTGGCACGCCACATGCTCTTAAACGTCTAGAGATTTTAATTTATTTTTTAATAAATAGACATCCAATAATATTATGACTCATTTTGAGTCATGTTAAAATTTCACTTACCTTAAATTTTAGTTCATTATATTTGATTTTTTTACTCCCCGGGAAACCTTAAAAAAATAAATTGGAACAAACTTTTGGGATCACTTTGGATTGCCAAAATTTATCGTTTTGGAATGAAGTGTACTACATTTCAGAACATACGTTCCAAAACATAATTTGCTAAGGTATCAACGTTTTCTGATAACACTGATCTGGTGGCTCTCAGGCCTCAATTGGCTGGACAGAGCAAGACAACAGGATTGGCCGATGTAAAAAATATCTGTATGCAAATGACTGGACCTTACTTCTATAATCTATGCAGAAACATAGAGAAATAATAACTCAATTAGCGTGTAGAAAATAGCATGGCAGTTGCAGAGAAGGTAAAGCATCAAGTCTCTTGATTAATAAAACAAAATAGAATATAAGGTTGAAAGAGTCAAGTTGTTCATCAGTGAGAGAGACAACTTACAACACCTGGCTTCAAAGGACGGTCATAGCTGATTGTAGAACAGTCATGTACATCCATTCCTAGATAGTGACCTGGAACCACAGAGAACCCAGAAAAAAATAAATAAATAAATAAAATCAGTGACTACTTTGGTATGCAAGATGCATTTTTATTTAGCAATGATAACTTGAAAAATGCTAATACAAACTGTGAATTGAAAACTTGCAATATGCCTTAAATATGTAACAAAACAGGACTAGAAGATCAAGGGATGGAAAGAGAAACCTATATTAGTTGGGTTCAGCTGATTGTAACTATGATGTCGATCATCTTTCAAAATTCCAATCTCCTTCAAGCCTTTGCGCATCTTATCAGCCTATGCCATGTAGCACCATTAGGATTAATACATTTTTATTGATGATTAGCTGAACAATCTTTGCAGCTGCAAGCTGCTTCCTGATTGATTAATCAGGTATCAGGCAAATCAGAGTAGAACAAATGCGCATCTATAGAAAGGAAAATTATCTGTCCAACTAGGTGATTCCCATGCTTAAAAAATCGCGAAAATCAAATGTAGCACAATAGGTCTAGTGAATTTGGGATCAGCAAAAAAAAAAGCCACATTTTTTCCTAACTTTTTTTGTTTCAAGTTTGTCTAGTATAAAAGGTTCTAACAAGTTAAAAAAAATAATAAAAAAATGAAATTTGGGTAGAACCTTAATCTGAAACATTTTGAATTTTTTTTTAAAGTTAAAAGTTAAAATAAATAAATAAATAAAGTGACAACAAAAATGCCAATCCCAGACACATCAGCTAGATGAGTAGATTGGTTTTAAATTCTGTGGAGCAGTGGGTTGCTGAATGATGGTACATACAACTATGTAACCACAATTATTGGTTGAGTACAAAACCGTCCTTGCAACCCCATTGGATGGCACCAATAGGTTTTATGAAAGCACAAGTTGTACACAATTATCAGAAATTTCCCGAACTGGAGGTTCTGATGTATTTCAGAAGTGATATTATTAATAATATTAAAATAAAACAAAATAATTTTGCACACTGAAGGAATTTCACTGATCAAACAAAAAAGACATGTGCCCATTAACAAGGATGAAGAAGATATGAGAAACTGCAACAACAAAATAAGGGGTCAAACTTACGAGTAACAAGGTAAAAATCCTGCAAAAGCTATGAACAATAATATAATAACACAAAAGCTGCTACCACTACTACTACAATTATTAAAGCTAGTTGTCAAAAATAAGGGATCAAAGAAAAAAATGACAGAAAATTACCAACTTAGAATCACTCTATGGAAATCCCTACTGAGACTATATGTTAAATTTATGAAATATGGAACAAACTGATGAATAGAAATTTAGTATGACAATTAGGGAAAGGCATATGGAGAATAGTATCATATGAGAAATCTATGAATGAGCTCACCAATACACCTAGTAACGGCATTGGTGCATGTTCTAGTTGCAGTCAATTTAACAGAGGATCACCTCAAAGCTTGACTTCTTTGGTTCTCTTTATATCAAATATATAAGTTGGAGTTCCTGTGAAATCTATTGTTTGAGAAACCGAAACATCAATCCTAGATTAAAAATTGGGCAATCTTAAAACCAAATAGTTTGGGGAAATCAGGTTTAAACTTCGAATTTTGATTATGACTTCCTCAACCAATGTTTAGTTATAGAGATCCAGCTTTAATTAATTCAAGTAGAGAAGGGGAAGCAAAACAAAATATTTGTTTGATACATTAGAATACAAGGACTAAAATGAACAACCAAATATTTTGCCAAGATTTATGAGATGAGTGACATGTCCCCCACTACTGGCTCTTGATTAAAGTGAAAAGAAATTGGGAAAGTTAAAGGTTTGAATCACATATAATGGAATTGGTAGAAGGAATTGTTAACATGATGCATGTGCAAGCACAGAAGATGGCCCTCTTGTCCAACTAGCTGTTGGGAAGTCAACTAAGCAACATCACATCATTAACAAGTGATACAGACCAGGAGTTGCATTATTGCAAGTGACTACTCAATAATTATAAATTTCCAACCAACTGAAAAGGGAATTAAAAGCAAGGGAAAGTCCTTTGGCAACAACGGAATGAAATTACCAAGACCAACTACTCTGAAAACAACCAAACAATTAAATCTTTTATAATCATGTTGTCCATATTAAAAGTCACTGCATGTACAAAAATATCAATCATTCAGACCAAAAGCCATATGGATCAAAATTTAGGAATGATGAAATTCCACAAATAACACCACCATTGCAGTGGGCCAAATGACTGCATGTCAAAGAGCAAGAAAATAATATCCTACTGTGCAAACTTTCAAAGCTTTAGCTACAAATGAAAGTGCACAGAGGGACCAGTTGAGACTTTCAAGGAGCACCAAGCCTAACACTAAATCAATAGGAATAACTTATTGACCAACAATGGAACAATTATATCTCAACATTTTAATAAAAAAATTGTAAAATAAACAAAATACTGAGAAATCTCGGCAACTAGAGCAATAATGATAATGAATGCCCAAAGCATGAAAGCAATGCCTTCATGTTGAGCTATGATTAGCAAGCCAAGGAGTAGGGATGTGTAACGTATCATGTCATCTGGGGTTCGCATAAAATCCCCTCGACACTAACCTTACCCGCTTATTTTTTTATTGTGCCATGTCATTTGTGGGTTTGTGTCGTGTTAATATGTCATGTTAAAAAGGTTCCGCCTTAGTTATAAAATAAAAAATAAAAAACAAAGTGCATGAAAACATTAAAGATTTTTTATAACAAACAAAAATATCATATTATCGCAAACATGAAACAAATCATATTTTACATTTTTTTTATTTAACTAAAGATGTCATGACACCTCTTAGTAGAAATAACATTAAAATGTGTAACTGATCCTCCATTAAATAAGTTATCCGAGACAATTTTGTGTTATGCAATTTTGACACAAACCTGATCTCTGTGTGTGTGTTTTTTTTTTCCCCCCCTTCATGTTATCGTGTCATCCACTAACCTCATGTACAATTCGTATAGTGTAAATGTGTCGTCTCAAAAATTTTCACCCTTACCAATGAACCATCCATCAAAGTCGTTAGGCATGTGAAGAAATATAAAGACACATGATTGCACAACTTAACTTTCACCCAAAAAGACAAAGGAGTGAAGAAATATAAAGACACATGATTGCACAACTTAACTTTCACCCAAAAAGACAAAGGATAGTGTATATGACAACTATGGTGGTATTTTATAAAGCTAAAAACTTAAAACTGAAAACTATAAATTAAGTATTGAAAAATAAATCCTAAATTTTTTAAGCAAAAAAGTTATTTGATAAAAATTTAAGTACAACAAGTTGTTTGATATGTATAAGATCAAATTTGAAATTCATTATTTTCAAATTGTATATTTCAATTTTTATATTGTGATGGTAGTAGTATGATGTTGATGGTGGCGGTAGTGGTGATTGTGGCGTGGTGGTGGTAGCGTTGGCGGCGGCGATGGTGGTGGTGGTGGCTGCGGCGGCAGCATGGTAGCATTGATAGTGGTGGTGGTGGCAGTGGTGGCGGCGGCAAAGCTGGTAGCTGTAGCAAAGGTAGTGGTAGTAAAATGACGGTGGTACTTATAGCAACAATGAGAATAGTGATGAAACTAGTAGTGGCGGCGGTGGCGGCGGCAGCGGCGACGGCGGCGGCAATGGCAATGGCATGATGGTGGTAGTGGTAACTGTGGTGGTGGTGGTACTGAGTTTATAATAGTATATATCGATACTCATATTTAGTATTTATAAATTCAGTTAAAATTAAGAAAGTTTCATATGACTTAATTTTAACTTACATTTTAAAAGACACTTAAATTTTTAAGTGATATCAATTGTAGTTATCAAATGGGCTTAATTGGTTATCACTTAATACATTCAGTTTTTAGTGCTGAATCAGATTATCAAACACCCCTTATGTATGTGGATTATAAGTTATAATAGCTATAAATAAAGTTTCATGTTTTATAAAAGATTCGGGAAAAATTTCCCAGTATAATTTCTAATCATTCTAGTGATCACTCACATGAGATGATGACGAACTCCACTATTGGCTTCACCTATATTCATTTTCATTTTACTTCTAGCTCATTCTACTAGTAATTAAACACTTTCTAGTTTGCATTTTCTTTGGTATTATTTCTAGTTGGAGACAAGAAAAATAAAATAAAACCATTCAAAAGAAGCCAACGAGAAGAAAAAATAAGTATGCCTTGAAAATTCTCTCAAAACATTCCTAAAATATAACCGATTTATGGCGAGATGACATAAATACCTGCGATGCTTCCAGCAGGGGTTGAGACTGGGCCACAACGGAGGATCCTCTTCCTTACAGGTTGATCCTTTGAGTTCCAGGAGGAGCCAGCAGATCAACAGGGCCATCGCCAGTTGGGGATTGTGGAGCGTGGCTCAAGATTACGGCGAGCAGTGATTTTGATCGATTTTGAAGTGGGCTGGATTGTTCAGAAGTTGTGAGTGGCGTCGCGAACAGGGCACACTTCGCCAATTCGTCGTTTGGATGGGAAACGACAGAGCGTGGCAGTTTGGACTCGAGGTGAGGAGGATGGAGGGGTCTCGTTTTAGATTGTGATCCCGACTGATGACAAACAATTTCAGACTTTTCTTCCTGCTTCGGAGTTTGGGGATGGATGGGAGGGAGTGGCTCTGGTCATTAAGAGTTTTGCCAAGGGAAAGGGTTGGATTTCGAAGAGGGGTAACATGAAAGGCGAAAGGTGAAAGGTGCGGCAGTGGTGCCAAGGGGTGCTCCAGTGAGGGTAAGAGCTATGGTCCCTCCAGGCAATAGTGGTCAACCGATTCCGACTGTGGAGGGGTGGTTTGGTTTGTTGAATTGGGTTTTGGTGCGTAAAGTGGGCCAGGTGTGGGGTTTTCGACTATGACGGAGTACGTAGGCCGATGGTGGCAGAAGTCAGGGATAGTGGAGATTTGACCAGTTGGGGGTCAAGATTCTCTCTTCGTGTTCCCTTCACGGCGAGAGGCTAGGGATGTATTGTGGCATCGGTGGGTCATTGAAGGGTGTGATTTAAGACTACAGTGGTGGTCAACGCCAGTTCTATGTGCGAAGGAAAAAGAATTTGGGTCGGCATCGATGGTATAGGTGAGGGTAGAGGTGCAACTTGGGAGGGCTCAACCCGAGCAACCCGAGCCCAGCCCGATTTTTTTTAGGACTTGGACAAAATATTTTCAAATTCGGTACGGGCTTGGACAAAAATTCAGAAGCTCAAATTAAATTTAGACGGGCTTGGGCAAAGATGTCAAACAACCCGAGCAACCTGAAGCCCGAATTA